AGCTGCACTGGGCTATGAAAGCCTTACCATAGACTGCTGGAAATCAATTTTTAGGATGACCGCAAAAGAGTAAGGTTCTCGGGAATGTCTATCTTCTAGTTTCTACATCTTTTACGCTGATGCACTCCTTGCCTTGACCGCACCTGACTCTCCTGTCCATGTGCCATTCAAACAGTAAAGGGGAGAGAATGCACCCATGATGGAGACCAATGTCAAGGCTGAATTGTTTTAACTAGTTTACTCTGACGCAGTACCTGCTATGATAGTGACTAGCTGACTATTTGACAGCAGCGCCCATATTGTTGCGGAGCAGGATAAGGTTATACGCTTTCTCCAAGCCCATCATGCAGATGTAATTCAAATGAGTGAACTCCAATGATTTTTTCAGCAGTTTGTGTAGGTAGCAGAACTGATCAAAGTTGTTTTGGCCTGAACAGGTCACCGTACTCTTCTTGGAACTGAGAATCAGCTATTTAGCAAAACAACGCTATATTAACAGAGTGCGTGTATTTTTCCCAGGAGACTTAATATGGTAATGACCAAATAATTGGAGCAGTACCTGTGGTGTTCTTTTTAGGAGAGGCACCACCACTGCAATTCAAAAGTAGTTTGGTGTTTTCACTGAGGACCTTGCGACTTGACAGACGCATGTTAGTCACAACATGCCATCCTCGCCTAAGCTTTCGGCACCTCAGAGCGGACTTCATCGATTTCATTTCGCTCCATTATCAGCTCATGAACAGAAATGCACGTGAAAGGCCTCATCATGAAAGCATACAACCGACATTGCAACAGCTATGCACTTTCGCTTATACAAGAAACATCGTTAAGGATAGCATAGCAGGTAAGACAATTTGTAATCACTCAAACTTCTAAGCATGCCAGCTTCACAAGAATTAGCTGCTGAAGAAAAATAACAACCTCTCTTTGAAAAAGCTGAGGTGTTAGCTTCGTTTATTGCAAGGGGCGGACCATACGACTTCGCCATGCACTAACGAACCGTTTCTTGTGCCACATTTAAACCGACCATTATCCAATACGGCAAATACGTCGAAGCGAATCTTTCAGTGACATGATGAGCATCGGCAAAATTAGCAAATATTTACTGTCACAATGACCAGAGCAAAAAACGGATACTTCACTAGCATAAGCACTCTGATTAGCTTCGCGTTAAGAGCGTCATGCGTGAAAATTTCACAGTGATGCTCGTGACAGTATAAAATATTAAATCAAACACGACGACAAAATAGAACGGGGAAAAGACAATACCCGTAGAGCGAAGCAACTAAAGCTGACAAACGATCGTCACTAACGAAGTGTCTCAACTGTCGATTCCCTCGGTATCTTCCAAATCGGTCTGAGTACCGCAGTCCTGGAACAGCCTAACGTCCAGAGATTCCGAGTTCTGATCTGCCACTTTCGGAGCTGGATTGAACGCAAAACAGTAGCAGCATCGGAAGGCAGTGGCGGCGATTTGGTCTTTCGGAACTGTCCCGTTGTGACCACAGCATACAGAGCAGATAAGTGCGTATCTACAGTTCAAAAAGCATTAACAACAACAACAGTAACCACAAGATTCTTGTAACTTTTATTCACCATCTCTGTCGTAAATCAACATCGACATCTTCGTTACAGAGAGCGACAGATGATCAGAACACGGGTTCTCGCGGCAAAGTGAAGCACGGCGGCTTAATTACTTCTGAGCAGCTAAGATAACCCCGAAGACTTATCATTTTCCGTAAACAAGGCAGATGGCACGATGAAAGGACAATGATCACTTATGAGATTAATAGGGGCTGTGGCTTTCACTGCTTTTATCTTTGTCCTCGGATTGTCCTTCTCCTACACTGAATCGCACTAAAAGCACTATGGCCTCCATGAATCCAGCAATCTTTCGTAAACAATCTTAGGGTTAACGACAGACTTTTATGACTACAAAAACTACAAACTCTATTGTATTACTCTCTGCCATGCGCCTTCAGGGACAGGCACGTCAAGGGTGGCTTATGGAACGCACCAAAATCTAAAGAGTGAAAAAGTAGCCAAAAATACACTATACACCCCTTTACCATGTCCGAAAGCTTATCTGCTTCGGCAGAAGTCGCTTATGAACTCAAACCGTAAAGCAGCCGTTGCATATGTATGATGGATATGTATATGATAAGAATCAACGCTAAAATACTGCAGTGCATCCACGTACAGTGGCTGCTTAAATACCTCCTTAGAGCTTCGCAAGTCCAATGCCCATCCCTCTACAAGCAAGCAGACAGTGCCGCTTTGCTCTATAACGCGGTGCAATGACTTGCATCAGTTTTTGCACCGCAGTATCAACGTATATCAAATCTAGTTTGCATCAAACCAAAACTGGCACTGTTAAAATGGCTTAGGGTTACCCAACTACTCCCGTTGGTTATGAACATGTATGCTGATCGAGTCGCAAGCCCTGTTGGCTCATGATCAAGTACGTTGTTCTAATTAACACCATGAAAGTGCTGTTCCCCCCTGAACACACGTTTTCAAAAACCACGGAGTTTTGACCTGCTTGAATTCTCAACCCTGTGTAAGCCTCTATAAGCAACGAGGCCGCCGGATTCTGCAGTACAGATATCGAAATCCGTTGAATATGTCACTCTCTACGGCAATACTGTCGCAAGTAAACTCAAGTTGACTTTATGTAACAACCTTAACTCAAAATTAAGTTTAACTCAAGTCTAAATTCATTCCCTATTTACCCGGAGTATACGAACCGTTTACGGTTCCGTGGAACCTAGTTTAATGTCTAGCCTATTCAGAAAATACAACTTTCCATGTTGAGTCGCGTAGTCTGCAGCTTATGAATAGTTGGGTTTAGATCCCGTTTCAGTACTCCTTCTTCAGATTCCTTTGAACTCTAACGGCCATGGAACTTCTCTGCAACTAAGGACAGTTTGACCATTCTCTTGCTAATCGCAACTACGATTTCCACCGAAAAAATATCGGCTTCTTTGAAGTTTTTAGAAGAATTCTCGAAGTTCTCACTGCCCGACTGAGCACTAAGGGTGGCATCAAATATACCCTCTACCTTCTTTTGGTAGACCAACCGTGCCGTTTCCTCATACCTCAGGCTGTCGGCGTCCATAAGCCTGACTTGTTTCAACCAGACCACGTCCATGCGACAAGGATCCGCTACAATTAAAGGGTGATCAGACCCACAGCATACGGTAGCCTGAAGGGAATTTCGAGCATCGAGCTACGCCATTTGTGGTTGATGAGAAAGGAGTCCAGCTGGGTGTTTAGGCTTCCATTAGGAGATGTCCAAGTGATTACGCTAATGGGGAAAAACGGTCCCACGCAGATTAAGCAGTTTATAGCGCAGAAGCTCAACGCAGACGCTTGCCGTTGTCATTCCCGCTGTCAATGAAGCTGTCGCCGACTACGCCTGACCATGTGCCTGTACTAAGCGTCTACCTCGGTGTAGAGGTCGTCGTGACAACTGTGAGGCGTGAAGTGACAAAACGCTAACAGCCGATTGCCAGTAGTCAGAGTAAGCTACTCTGAAGATGACATTGGTGACGAAGTCACTCAGCGTTGCCTGTTTGACACCCACGCGACAGAGCAGGATTCTGTCCCACATCTGTTCCACCGATATGACCGCGTAGCTTGCCTTAAGGTACGACTCAGCAATGAAACTTTAATGCTTAGGAAGCGTTGTCAGGTAATGGTTTACTGCAAACGGAACTATTTTTTATCTAAAAGGTCGCCCCATGTACAATGACAACTAAATATGGAACATATAACTTAT